GTTTGGTTTTTCCTGTGAGTCAGGAGAGCTATGGCAATGAAGGAGATGAGAGCAGTTCTTCCAGCAGGGACGAGGAGCTTTTATTCCAGCAGGGAGGAGCAAGCCTTCCTTCCTCAGCATTCTTTGCTGTGCAGCTGGGTAATCTTAAATATCTTTTAGTGCCTCTTGAATTTTTGTGTAGCTGTGTTTGGATTCCTCTGGCGATACTTCAGAAAGATCAGTCTCCTATTCTGCTTGCTTCTTTGTCCTGAAAGCCACTTATATTCACAGTCACAGACCAAACAAAATGTTTTCATGTCTGTGGTGGCGCCATCTATAACTGAGACGGACTTTAAGTTTTGAGGTAGCATGTTTTGGGGTTTGTTTGGTTTTGGGGGTTTTTTGTTTAGTTTTTTTGTAGGACTGGAATATATCTGAATTTTCCTGGCTTTCCAGCTGTTCTACCTTGAAGGGGCATTCTGGACAGTGAATGTGGAGACAGATTCAAAAGTTCTATTATCTTGGCAAGTAGACTTTCTTATCTCTAAAAACCTGGGCCTAAGAGAAAGCCAGGTCCGGTTAGCATGGGTTTTTGAAAGGCAAGTCCTGTTTGATGAACATGATCTCTTTCTATGGCAAGATGACCTGCCTGGTTGATGAGGGGAAGGCTGTGGAAGTTGTCTACCTGGACTTTTGTAAAGTCTTTGACACTGTCTCCCACAGCATTCTCATGAAAAAACTGGCTGCTCACGGCTTGGACAGGTGTGTGCTCTGCTGGGTAAAACACTGGCGGGATGGCCAGGCCCAGAGAGTGGTGGTGAATGGAGTTAAATCCAACTGGTGGCTGGTCATAAGTTGGGTTCCTCAGAGCTCAGTCTTGGGATCACTTCTTCTTAACATCTTTATCAATGAGTTCATTGAGGAGATAGAATGCACCCTCAGTAAGTTTGCAGTTGTTGGGAGGGAATGTTGATCTGACTGAGGGCAGGGAGGCTCTACAGAGAGACTTGGATAGACTAGATCAATGGGCCAAGGTCAGTTATATGAGCTTCAACAAGGCCAAGTGCTGAGTCTTGCACTTGGGCCACAACCCCATGCAATCCTACAGGCTTGGGGAAGACTGGCTGGAAAGGTGTCGAGCAGAAATGAGCCTGGGGGTTCTGATTGACAAGTGTCTGAATAGGATCCAGCAGTGTGCTCAGGTGCCAAGAAGGTCACTGGCATCCTGGCCTGTATTTGAAATAGTGTGACCAGCAGGACGAGGGAGGTCATCGTCCCTTTGTACTCAGCATAGGTGAGGCTACACCTCGAATACTGTGTCCAGTTTTGGGCACCTCAAAACAAGAAAGATGTCGAGGTGCTGGAGCATGTCCAAGAAGGGCACCACCAAAGCTGGTGAAGGACCTTGAGAAACAAGTCTTATGAGGAGCATCTGAGGGAACTGGGGCTATTTAATATGAAGAAAAGGAGGCTGAGGGAAGACCTTATCGCCCTCTACAACTACCTGAAAGGATGTTGTAAAGAGGCACTGGTCTCTTCTCACAAGTAGCTGGTGATAGAACAAGACAGAATGGCCTCAAGCTGCACCAGGTGAAGTTTGGTCTTGACATTAGGAAGAACTTTGTCACTGAAAGGGTTGTCAGACATTGGAACAGGCTGCCTAGGGAGGTGGAGTCACCATCCCTAGATACATTTAGAAGTCATCTAGATGTGGTGCTTGGGGATATGGCTTAGTGCTAGACTTAGTAGAGTATGATTAATGGCTGGACTCAATGATCTGAAAGGTCTTTTCCAACATAAGTGATTCTGTGACTCGACTCCTGCTTTTTGTCTTGTGCTGAGTGCTAGGTTATGTTGCAACCACTTCAGAGGATTTATTTGTTGAGGATGTATGTAAAGCTGTTTCATTAATGAGAGCAAGGAGTAATCTCATTATGCTAAAAGTGCAAGGTAAATCTGTCACTGCCAGGATTTTTATTAATGTGCTGGTACATATGCATGTTGGTATGTTCTTTGCAAAATAAGCAATGTCTTGGAATTGCTGGTTTGTTCTCATTTAGTTCAGCTACCATGGATTACAGGATAATACCTACAGCATTTGAGTTTCTTGGGTATATTTGAGGACTTGATGTACTTTGAGGACTTCCTGTACTTACAATTCTGAAGTTCTTAGTTACTTTGTGAAGAGACTTTGAAGTGAATGAGTGCAGATTGTGCAGGGTTGTTCTTTTATTTTTTCTTTTAATCTGACAAGCAGACAAAAATGTGTTTTGTGAAGGAAAAGATGGGAGACAAAGGTGGGAAGCAAATGTAATGGCCAGGAATGACTTCACTGTCCTTGCCAGGATGACTAAATTGACTACAGGAGAAGACAATATCCCAAATCAGGTATCTGTTTTGACTTCGTTAGAAAACATTGTCTGCCAGCCCCAGGGATCTGACAGATGGCAAAAGAAAAACAGGCTTCTCTCCTCCTGTATCAATTTGGTTGGTATTGGAATTACTTTTGGAACCAGCAGCATTATCAGTGGGCTTGTTTACTGTCTTTGTGAAAAAGACTTGAGTCTCCATGATTTCTATGATGTTGAACATCCTTCTGTAACAACCAGAATGCAGCAAAGCAAGCGTGAGCTCAAATCCTCTGTTAAATCAGACTTTTACTGAAATAAATTAGGGTAATCTATCAAAGATGTACAAGGCAGCACATGCTTGTGCTGCTGAACTGTATTAAAGACGCAGTCATCAGGGCTCTTCCAAGAACTGTGGGGCAGGAAAGGGACTTAATGAAGAGGATGTGGTAGATAATACTGAAGTATTGTTGGGTTTTTTTGGTAATTTTTTTTCTTTAATGCATTTCCATGGGGAAGGAGTCTCAAGAAAACCACTCTCAAATCTATTTAGTATTTGCAAAGAGGGAGAACTAGAGGCAAACTTGTGAAGGCTATGGAGGATAGAAAATAGGGAGGCAGTGCTGGTGTGGACAATGTTAGGGGACCTTGCTGGTGAATTAACTATGGGACATCTTTGTTTTCCCTCTGACTCAGAAATCAGGGATAATCAGAATTAGCTGGTTGGTGGTTTTTTTGTTGTTGGTTTTTTTTTTTTTTTTTTTGTGTGGTAACTGTTTTCTTCCTGATGGATTGTTTCTGTGATTTCTTTTCATATCATATTGATACAAATACTGTAATATACAATCTGTAATTTCTGTTTAAATTGTTTTAGTTTGGAGAATTCGAAGTGTTAGATTTGATATTAACTAGTATTGCACTAACTCGAGCAGAAGGCGGAGGATGACAGTGTACATTTTAAATTTGGCAGGGCTCCAGCAGGATGCTCACTGGGGAGGGATGGGGAAAAAATTCTCCTGCTTACTGGCAGAATGTAGTTAAGGTGAAAGCTGATAATAAATCAGACTCTGTAAATTGGTCACAGAAGCTGATTTTTATGTTAATGCAACTCAACAGCTAACTGCAATGGTTACCTTCTGTGAGGAAAATGGTTCAACACTATAACTTTTAGGTTGGAGTACAAGTTTCTCATTATGGTAATAAACACTTGATACCTTTCCACTGAAACACTCTTCACTTTGGTTAAGACACTGAGGGTGATCTGGTGGCAATGGAATAGTTGCTTTAGTAGCCAAGCACACAAATTAAATTCCTGAAATACACACACTTGAATACAAGACTACCTTCATGCTAATGCACATCATAGTGGCAACATCTCTTTAGCTGGAGGTGGCATGGATTTTGCACTAGACAGGTGATAGCTGATCTAATTAGCACTGAGTGTGGCAAGTTATTTTGGAGTGGTTGAGATTAAACTATTTCTGATACTGGCGATTTATGCTGAAGTTAGAAGAGCAAGATCTGATGTAAATGTCACAGGACTATTTCTACTTATGGTTGCTTGTAATGCTGACAAATTTGAGCAGGTAAATTTGGATTGGTGGAAATTGATTAAAATTGAGGTTGATGTAAAATATAAAGGGCCAACTTTGGACTGCTCCTACCTTCTCACTAAATCTGCCTGTAATGTCTTTTTACATATAAATAAATTTCACTTCTTTTGTATATTGATAGCTATTTCCCAGTTAAGTTGTCACTTTAGCAATTTAGTTCAATTTCTGGCCAATATAAGAACTCGAACCTCTCAAGACTTGGCTTGTGTCAGAATTAATTAAAAAAAGCAAAACATGCCAATTAAGCAATCTTTCCTTCTCTGTTTAGTTACTTGCTAATGATGTAGATGCCTAACAATGTAAGACTACGTTAAGCTTTTGGCCAGTATGTCTATGTAGAAGTGCTTGAGGTAAATGAACCGTTATGTAGATTGATTATAATGCAAGAGACGTGAATTGGTGATGTAAAAATTAAGAGCGTACCAGAATAGAGACTATTATAACACTGTTAAGGTAGCAATTTTTTTGAAAGCTGATATGTGTTGTGGCTTTACTTCCCTTCTAGTTGAACAGTTTAAGGTGGCAAAGCTCCAAGTTCAAATTTGCTGGTGTTTTTGTTCACTTTTCTTCTCCCTACTACCAGCTGCCAGAGCTAGTTGTGAATTTTGGGCTGTTGGCAGTTGATGTGCTTATGTGTTGTAGGCATTCAGAATAATTCTGGGTCAGATGAAAGTACTGCTTCAGTAGGAGGATTATTTTAACTAACTTTTATTTTTTGTAATTTATGCTGTTGCAGTTACCAAAGAAAATTATGTGATGGATCTAGATTAAAAAAAAGTGTATATTTACATAGTTGTTTTAAATCTAATGGTACGTAGGCAAGGAACCGGTGCTTCATAATGAGTTGTATTTGAAGACAAATAAGCAAGTGGTGTGATTTTCAGGTAAATGCTATTATCTTTGTGGGTTACCGGTGCCCTCTCGAGGCGAAACTGAAAAATGCAGCAGTCTGACAGGAACAGCAAGTGGAAAAGAGCAAGGCGGGTACCTGCCCTGGACTTTAAGTAGTCATCTCGGCCCCGTGTTTGTAATCCAGTTTTACTGCTTTCTTGTTTTGTAGGTGAAAACGTTAAAGAAGATCTGCAGGGGAAGAAAAATCTGAGCGAGAAAGTCTCTCTGTATAGAGGTGATATCACCCTGCTCGAGGTGGATGCCATTGTTAATGCTGGTAGGTGGTTACCTGTTTTATGTTTTTACGTCTCATGGTCTTTACAGTGCCACATAAAAAGTTTGAATTTTGCAAGGTTGCATAAAATTGATGTGTCCTCTGGAAGTCTGTTGGAAACTACATACTATTTCCCATACATTTCTATATTGCATCTGTTCATCATGTGGCAGGGATTACTGTGAAACTTTTATTAGCATGGTCACCAAGAAGAAAATAGTGCTCTTGTCCATCTTTTGACTTAACTCGAGTAGCTGAGGCTTCACACTTCATACTGTAGAAGACCGAACTTTGATAGTAAGCTCCTACAGTACTTTCCAGTTTGTTTTTAGAAATGAAGCCATTTGTGGACTAGGTAATGTGAAAACCTTAACAATAAGGTGATGGGGAAACTGAATTTGTATTCTATGTGGGTTGAATATTTGTCTTCTTCTAGGGAGACTGTATCTTTACAATTTTTGGTCATGACCTACAGGGTATTTTAGTTACCTCTCCTCACTCAGTGACCATGTCTGCTTGTATGCAGCTGAGGTGAAGAACTGTGTGTGGCATCTTCTTGTGACAAAAGCATGGAGGGAGGGGAAATACCCATGTAATTAATTTCTTTATTCATTAAATTATAATAAGGTAATTTGGCTGGTTGGGTGAGACTATAAGGAAGTTTACCCCCACACACATCCCGGCCAAATCTTGCCTGCACTCCTGACCCCCCCAAAAATATGGTTTGTGTGTCTTGAGAGTGGAATCTCTTTCCGCCTTAGTATTTGGCTGATACTGTCTTTCTTTTTTAGGAGTATGATTAATTTTCATTACCTAATTTTTGGTGGTATTCATTGATTAGAAGGAAACATACTGTAGTATTTTCTCTGAGTTGGAATGAAATGCAGCAATTCCCAAGGTTGTATTGACCAAAACTATATTTACTTCCGGCAGTAAAAATCTGTGTGGAGACACTGGCTTATCTCTGTAAAGAGTAGAGAGAGGTTTGCTTGTACGGTGTGGAAGCTGTTAAGCAACTCTCTTGGATTGTTTGGTGTTGTTTCTCTCTGCCTAACTCCACTCTTGACAGTAGAGATGCGCTACTGGGTTTTGAGGAGTAGAGGTAGAATCCTTGGTTATCTGGAAGTGCAGTTATGCACTCCAGTAACGAGGATGGTATTTCCAGCAAAAATTCTTAATTTATCTTCTAGTTAATTGATGCACAAAAGCCTTTCCAAGTTACAAACAAACAATACAGTAGCATCCCTGTAGTAACATGATTCCCCCCTCACATTGTTGGCAAAGCCTCTGAAGTTTTAGTCCTTTAATTTCCGCCCCCCCTGTTCTTTCAAGATGACATTTACAATGGTGCTCTCGCTGAATTCCTTACTTTATTACTCTACAGTAAATCAATATTAGCATGCTTCTCTCAATTACAGGCTAGAACAGGTTACAGATTAGCTTCAGAATGGGAATGCTTTGCTTTTCTTCATTTAAAAAGAGAGGGAGAAAACCTCTTTATATGTCCTGCATATAAGGCTACATCCCAGGTTGCCAGTAACATTATCTATCTGTAAACTTGTCTTCCATCTTGGTAAGGGACACATCTGAATACAAATGAAATACAGAGCCCAATTAAAATCAAAACATACTCATTTATATGTAATTTTGAGGAAGTTATTTAAGATCACTCAAAACCACACAGTAAAGCTGGGTTGAAAAGACTTAAAGGGGGACATAAGACTCTTCGACTACGTAGAACGTGAGTGGCAAAAAGAAAGTTGTTGCTGCTGTCTTCTGTGAGTTAAAGAGAAGTTTGATTTGGGCATAATGAGAGATTCAGATTAGACTTCGGCAAAACTGTTCTTATTGGAAGAGACAGTGTTACTCCACAGTATAGGGCTAATAAATAGCAGGAGCCAGGGCATTGGTATGGGTAGGTTTTTGAGATTGTTCTAGCCCTTTTTCTGCATTTTGTAATAGTGCCTGAAGTCTGTAGTACATTAATGATTAAAAATTTTTAATATGCTTATATTAAAATAGTAACCTGTTGTTACCTTGAAAAATTAAATATTCTTTATGTGGCAATGCAGTAATTAAAATGTAAGTGTAAGTCTTTGGTTTGTTCATGGTTTCAGTCTTTTTTTTTTTTTTTTAAGTTAAACCTTTTAACGTTGTTGTGGAGGATAGCTGGAAAGCTAAATGAAAAGAAGGATGTTTGGGTTCAAGAGCCATGTTGTTTAGGTAAAAACTCCAGTTGCACTGAGGTTTTTTTTGTTTGTTTGTTTTTGTTTGTTTGTTTGTTTTTGAAACCATGTTTCAGTGAAATTGTAGTGTCTCTTGGATGTTAAGTGAAAACATACATCCGGGCTCTGTAGCACTTTTGCAAAGGACTCCAGTATTTTTGCTTCTGCAATTAAAATTATCTCAAAGTGATAAGGCAAAAAGTAGTCACAGTACTAGCTTCTGTCTGTAAATCGAATAAAATATGCAGCCTGTCGAACATGGAGTAGAAGACAGACCTTTTGGAGGTAAATATGTGCAAATTCTCTTTATACTTAAAGCCCTTTGGCTACCCTGAGTAAGATAGCCTCTTTCTTGAGACATTCTCCCTGAATGTAGGAATTCCATTAACTATCTCCTGTAAGAAATAGTTTAACATACATCAAGTCATAGGCAGATGAAAGCCACAGGAAGATGCTTGGAGCTGGAATGTTTTCAGTTACACTGACTTACACAAACAATACAATCTGCCTTAATTAAAGGGATAGTATGGCAAATTCTGGGGCTGTATTTCCAGGTAGTTCAAATTGTCTCCAGATTTGCATACAAACACATTGGCAAAACCCCCTTATATTTTCTAGTACCTGCCTGTAAGGGGTAAAATGAGGCGTAAGTAGATTTGCTTGATTTAACAGCGATGTGAGAATATGTGTGGTAACTTGCCTGTAGCTCTGACTTGGTACAGTGATGTCCTCCTTTGGGCATCCAGCTAACTCGGTTCAGAGTATGGCCAAGTTTTATTTCTGAGGTATACTACACAAACACTTATGTTAAATGTAGTAGCTTACCTTGTGGTCTGAATTCTGTTTCGCCGTTGGATTTTTCATATATAAATTAGACAGTGCTAACTGAACTTCTTTTGTTTGGCTGAGGAAGATGTTAATGGTGATATTATCTAGCTAAATGCCAAGACATCACTGATGAGCCCTACTACAGAGCGATCCCCTTTTCTCCAAACTGAGTGTTACTTTACATAAATGTTTTACAGCTATTTTATCCTAAAAGAGGACAATTACGGAAACAGTGGAAGTAAAAGTTTGTGTCTTTGCTCACTCAAAACAGCCACTTGGACATCATTTGTGATCTCTTTTGAGGATCTGTTTTCTGGCCTCTGAAGAGAGTAAGAGTTAACCTGAGATGCAGTGTGATAGAAGACAGCTGAAAAAGGGAGCTGATACGCCATTTTGCTAAAATTGATGTCTATTATCTACCCTTGTAAATGTGTTCTTTCCCTATAACTTCTTTGCTACTGATTGTATTGCAGACAGGCATTAAATTGACTTGATGTTTTGCCTGAGGTGCCCTGCTATGTTAATTTATTTTCCCCCTTTTTAAAAAAGGTTCAGATAAGATTTGTAAAAAATCTTAATTTTGCTTTTATATCCCTTTCTGCTCTTTCAGTGTCATGCTCTAAGGATGGGAGCAGGCTGGCCCTGAGGCATGTACTTGCTGTATAAATCCATGATAACTGGCCTTTTTAACAAATTAAATGTTTCTGGATGTTGCTGCATCCTGATGCCAAAGTGCTTCAAGCACCTGGAAGCCAGATAACCACAATTAACTGACTTCCAAATAACCTTTGAGAACTGAACTTGGGTTGTTGTGTCAAGGGAAGGGAGTGGAGGGTCATTCAGTCCATCTACCCCTTTCCTCTGAGCTCTTTTAACACTTCCTTTATTTATACTGCAGGCATTTCCTAATAGAAAGTATTTAAGTGGAATACTAAAGCCACAAGATTTGTAATATTACCGCTGCTGCCTCACCAGCTCCCTCTACCTTTGTTTTTTTGAGGTGTATTCTCCAAGGTATGATACCGATTTAGGGAGCACACTTTTCTGCTGGTGGTTAGTTTAGCAGCAGTCCAAAATAAATGGTATATGTCTTGAGTTTTGACTCTAAAAAAAAGGGTTTCTCTCTGAGTCTGCCTGCCTGCTGCCTCTACTTGCTTAAAGTTTGGATGATATGACGGCTTAAGTTGGTCTGTTGTAGTAACACTGGTCATAACTGAAGCTTCTGCGGCCTATTGGAAGAACAAAAATTGTCAGTTCACCAGTCATGGAGCTTATTCTACTTACTTACAGACCTCTTCAACTATGTTGTTCTTACAGAGTAGCTAATCCCAAATCCAGAAACAAGCAGTAAAATCTCAGTAAGGTTTGAAAAATAAACTGTACAATATTTATAGTAGCAGCTTTTGTAGTGTCAGTAAATGCTAAATTTTCTCTGCCTATGTAATAAATATAGGGAAAAATGTCTTATTTTGTGGCTCCCTTTGACCTGTACTTGATTCCAGGAATCATATCTAAGCCTACCAAATTTGGGGAGAACCTATAACTTTTTTAAGGGAATATTTTTTTCTATATGAGAAAACAAATGAAGTAAAACTTTACTCAGATGAATAGTGGAAAGAGTTAGTGAAGAAAATAAGTAATCAACTTTTCATATCCTGTAGTTACTAACCTTAGATGCTAGAATTTACTTACTGAACCTCATGCTGTGTAAGAAGAGGTTTCCTCTACAGGAAACCATCCATGAATCTGCAGTGAGCCACTTCCACTGGAAATGCTGATGAG